ATCTAAATGACAGAGACAGAATTTATATCTGAGCTATTTGTGAAATTTAGAAAGAAAATTTTTCTGTGGCGTCTATCCATGTTATGATCAATCCATACTTGTTATAAAGTTTGGCTGTAGTACACAGAAAATACTAGCAGCAAGAACAAATGAATATATAATCCTAAATTTTCTAGCAGATATTGCTAGAATGTTACTGCTAGAAATTCTAGCTGTGACAAACGATATTCTATCAGATACAAAAAATAGCGATAAATTTTCGTTGCGACATCTAGAAATCTACCTACATTAGCAAAACATTTTTTTGAGTGTGCGCGAAGAAACTTTCTGCGGAACAATAAACGACGTATAAATAACGAGCGTGCTGTAAAATCGATTTCCCAACAAGATGGGACACACCGGAAGGTTTTTGCTACAGCAATTATTTTAAATGTGCTAAAATACACGAATTTTCGACAGCAATTTCTATCTCAGTCTAATCGTAAATTATTATTTGCTTATTATTCACTCTACATGCAACATAGCGGGATATTAATATTTAACGTATTCAAAGCACGCTATCGCAAAGAATCTCTAATAAGGAGTTTCTTCTACATCGTACTTTAAATACGATAAACGCTAAAGTGCCATGCCATTCATTTTAAATGTATGTTATTTATCTCATTTATCTTGAATTAGCGTTTAGAGCATATTATTGCGAAAATTCTCCGATAATAACGAATTTTCTCAATAACGTATCTTTAACGTGACAAACGCTAAAGCGTTACATTTATTGCGAAACGGCCATATAAATGATGATAAAAAATTCCACCTTAGATTAGTGTTCTCACACTTTATTTCGCGACTCGACAAGACGTTCATTATCTAATGTGACAGAGTTTTGAGAATGCAATCCACTTGTTCCGCAGTCGTTTTCCGCCCGCCGAGAACCGCGAAGACGTTCCCTCAGGAAGAAAGAGTGCGTGTGTTCAATAGCGAAAAAAAAACAGAGAATAAACAGATTAGCGCGAGAGGATGCGTCGCACCGAAGTGCCGATCGCGTATACAATCGTAAAATGCGCGAGCGCGTCCGATGTGAATGCACCTTTATTCACCGAGACTAAAATCGATCGAACAAATTAGGTAAGGTAATAGCGCTTCCGCGGTTCGCGACATTCCGTCGTCGTCCAAGTTCATAAACCTCCCGTGTAATTATTCTATCCCGAAGAACGAGCTGATAGGTTGAACTTGAAGGTGATTTCGTTCCTTCGAGCGAACTTGAAATCGACATGATAATTAATGCAAATTATTATTTACCTTTTATATGCTTGCAATTGTTAACGCAATTACCTTAATAAAGTTTACTGATGCGTTATATACATAATTTACTCAATTGATTTTATGCTTGTACGAAGAAGATTGTCGCTACTTTTGGCACAAGACCAATTGAATAAATTATGCATTAACGCACTAGTAAACTTTATTAATGCAATTGCATTAATAATTGTAAGCGGTCTCTTTCTTAAGATATTTTTTTTTATTCTCTATCCCGCGTTTTCTTTCTATTCATTGCTGGATCCATACACTACTAAATAATTAATAAATGTTTATTAAACATATATTTATTTTTGCAATCTTATAAAATGATGCAAATATATTTTTTTTTCGGAAACAAGGAATATATATTACTAATAATTGTATATGTTTATTATTATGTAACAAGAGACTAACTAATAAATGAGCACAATAATATTTTATTGAAAGAAGAAAAGAGACAGAAGTTAAAAAACCAATAATTATACAGAATTATAAAAAATTAAATATTTATTTTGATAATACGAAAAGTATAAAAATTGAAATTATACTGTGATTTTATCAGTATTTTTTTATCGCATCTTATTTGATTTTAGCGATAAATTAAATCTATTATCTACGACAATTTTACTTCTTTTTGTTATCTATAAGTTCCAAATAACTTTTATGTAAAATTAAAATAATTTAAAATATTTGAGTATGAATTTCTATATCTGCGAAAGATAATGTGACGAAAATATTATTTTAATTCAGCGAAAGGATTGATATATAATATGCTCAAGCAGTTATTTAGCAGTGTATTTATTCTATCGTTGTAATTTGCATTCTAACTTTTACTAACACAATATCAATGGCTATCACGAAGTTACATTCGGAGCTTGTGACTTTTTCCTGGCGAACCGCGATAGTGCCGCGATAAATGTTGCATGAAATGAATATTAAGAGTCTGTATAAAACCGTCGCCGCACGAGAGAATTACAGACCATGTTGAACGCCTTTTTCATTTTTTTCCTGACGCCAAAACGTGTAACTCGAGGACTTTGTCGGGCAAAACAAACAATAATCGTTTAAGTATAAATTCATGCAATTGAAAATGTGATCAGCTTTCACCTATAAAAAAAAGATTAACAGGAACATACAAATAATGAGGAAAGGATAATAAAGAAGTAAATGAAGAAAAAAATCAGAATAGATTAAATTCGTATGTCATGTTTTAAGCATGAAATTATATTTAAATTATATTATATTATAAATTGTATTAATATTATAAATATATTAGAAATTATATTATATTTATTGTATTTAAAAATATAGATATCTCATAAAATATTATAGATTTATTTTTCAGTGTTACGCTTTAAATTTAAAACAAATAAACAAACGACATAATAATAATAAATTAATAATAAATTAATGTTATTTATTTCAATAATTAATGAGAGAAAAATAATATGAAGTATATATTCGTAAATATTTATTTTAGTGTAACATATTTATCAAGATTAAAATTATCTGCGGATATTACGCTAAAATAAACATTTATATTAATATTTTTTGATATTATTCGATATATTTTTAACAAAAAACCTTTCGACTGAACAAGTGAAAAACTGACATTACGAAAATTCTATAGAAACAATATTTTGATTACTTTTTCTTCTCACGCGCGTTTTCTTGTCAAAAGAATCTTAGAACCGATCACGTACGACTCGACGGAGACATTTTGTCGGCCCGACAGCGTCCTCGAGAGATACTTGGAGCATTTTACACTTTATCCCGAAGATTTAAAGACCACCATAAAGCACAAAACGTGCGACGCGTTACATCTGTACATTCGTCCGGTATGCGGCGAAACTTGAAGCGAAATAAAAAGAGAAAAACGGAGAAAATAGAAAAATGAAAAGAGAAAAAAAAGAGAAAAAAATTTCGTACGAAACAAATTGCACAAAACGAGCTGTACCTTTTTTTTCTTGCAGAAACCGAAAGACCTATTTAACCGAAAGTCTTCATGGAACGCGCAGGAAGCATACAAGAAATATATATTATTATATAAATATATATACGGGATATATATATAATTGCTAGAGTATACCTTGCAGTTATGCGAATGTTGCATTGTCTATCTGTTTGTTCCATACAGATCCAGATGTATTATTGTATCCGATGGAGTATTATATATCAAAATATATAATATATATCTATATATATGTATTTATGTATATACATATATATATACATATTAAGCTCCCCGTTTTCCTTATTTTTCTAGTAACTTAAATGTGACTTTAATAATAATATATATAATATAATTATATTACATATATATTATATTTAATAATTATTTTTTATGTGAGGAGACTTTTTATGTGAAAGATTGCGCTCTACAATCGTTGAAAAATGGAGGTTACATACTTTTCTAAACTAAATAAAATTTCATCCTTCAAGTCCCTAATTTCATTAATCGACAATAATTCGCTGCAATAATTAAAGCAGTTAGAGCTTACCTCTGTGTATGCGATGCACCAAAGCCGAATTTAGTCCAATCGATCGATGAGTAAATTCAACCGATATTAATTATAAAATGTAAAATTAATTGTAAAAGAAGAAAGAGAGAGAAAGATCACGTTCCCGCGGTTTTAGATCAACTTTGCATACGGAACGCTAACTATCTCCCAAGGAACGTGGAACTATGTAGCCAATTTTATGAATTCTACTCGGTAGGTAACATGTGTTATATTTTGGTTCAGTTCCGTACTACATTCGCAAAACTGTGTGCGTATGTGAAAGTGAATTGAAGATTTATCATCTTTACCTTAATTTCAAATTTCCTCTCACTCCAACGCTTGATTATACATCTATTTTTTTAAATGCAAATAAAATAAGAGGTAACGTCAGAGACTTTTGAGAGCGATTATTCTGACGTTTCTGAAAAGCTTCTTTGAAAAATCTCATTATCTGCATCCATTTTATTGACTAAAAAATGAGATACATAAAATAAAATATACAATTAAATTTATAGAGACATTAATACATACGTGTTTCTGTAATTCACAAATAATTTATAAATGCGTAGCCTTTTAGGGACTCTGTCAAACGGTGATTTTATCGGAAATGTCGATAAGTAGATTGGCTATGTAATTCTATGTGGTTTCTAATGGATGTAGATGGCGATTACGATGGCTTGAAATCTCCAAGATGGTTTTTTATCTTTTGGTTGGTACAAGATATCTTTATCTTTAACCTATCTTTACCTGTCGATGCCGCCTGTCAAACATTGCGTCGCAGAATAGTCCAAGGAAATATATTTTCCTTTTAGAAAAACTATTCAACGAAATTTTTCAAAGCGGATTATTAACATACTAAGTATACCTAACGAAATTTTCAAGGATCCGTTTTGAATTTAGAGCTTATATAAATTTGTAATACATGAAGTAGTTTCTTGGAGTAATACATGAAGTAGTTTCTTGGAGTAGTCATCAATTTCTGAAAACATTCAATGTTTCCAAAATAATACATAATTTATCACTTAATTACATATTTATAATTTTACTGTGCTTATCTAAGTGCATAAAATATTACCTTAGATTAATAATTGTATTAATATTTCCAATTGCATTATTAATATTGACATAAACTTTATACATAGATTATATTCTAAAATTATACAAAAATATGCACACTTTTTGTACTTTGCATGAAAAATTTAATAACCATATGATAGATATATATTTTTAATTCAAATACGTTTTTGTTCTGAATAGGAGCTGAATAAGGAGTTTGCAGTTTCTAAATATTTATCTTTACTTTTACTATGGATAAGAAACATACAACGCATCTATACACATATATAAATTTTTTCCAGTATAAATGCCAAGCGTTAAGGATGAATCGGAGGCAGAAGGGGAGGAGATGTCTCATGACAGTAACGAAAGTAATCAGAGTTCTGCATCATGTGACAGTAGCGCAGAACATACTGACAGCGATGATTCTTCAGAAATGGATGAGGATGAATGCGAGAGGAGACGTAATGAATGTATGGAAAACTTATTAGATTTGGAAAGACAGTTTACTCTTCTCAAGGAACAGTAAGTACATTCCATATTTAGCATATTATTTATTGTTGTAATATTTTACATCTTTTATTTAAATTTACATAATATATATTTATAAATATAAAATAGGGGAAATTTGTTCATTCTAATAATATAAATATTATAACAATTAGAAGATTGATTTTATTAAAAATAGAAAAAAAGTAAATATAATATTGTAATTTTTAATTCTGAAATTGTAATTAATTGTTAATAATATGAGCAATATTAAAATTCTAAATATAAATGCTTTTATTGTCTGTATTTAAGATTGTATCGAGAAAGAATTACACAGGTAGACACAAAACTTGGAGAAGTTCGTGTTGGAAAATCTGAGGAATATCTAATACCTCTAGAACGACTAAAAGAAAACATGAAAACAAAAACAGAAGTAGCCGGAATATTGAAACAGTACAGATTGCAAAATATCCAGAATAAATTCCTAGCAGAAGAGCAGGCTGCTTTACAAAATTTTGAAAGTGAAAAGGGATTGATTTGGGATTGTATTCATAACGATCTCCAAGAGAAGATTCGTCGTCTAGAGGAAGATAGAAACAATGTGGACATACATGCGGACTTATGGCTTAATACAACTGGTAGAAGACGCAGAAATCATTCGGAGAGAAGACGAGCAGTTTCTGTTGCAGGCCCTTATATCGTTTACATGCTCAATGATGCGGATATATTAGAGGATTGGGCGTTAATAAAGAAAAGTTTAAGTAGTTGGAAAGCAGAAATAATGTAATTTTTATTTAAGTGTATCAAAGAAAATATTTTCGAAACTAATATTACGCGTCCATCTTTGATACGAATAGAGATTTCGCGTCCAACTATAATTGGAAATCAGACAAATACATTTTTAACGATGGCGTTTATTGGGCGTCTAATGTTTGTATAGTGTGCCTTGAAAAAAAATGAAGTAGTTAGTTATTATAAGGAACATCTTGCTGACTCTAAATAAATGAGTTTCTCGATCAGTCTCCAAAATTTAAAATAAAGTTTGCCAAATATCAAACTTATTAATATATCTACTTCTGTAGTGTATGGAAGAATTTTCATTATGATATAAGAAATTATAATATAAGAAAATTTTATAGGTCGGAAAAAACAGATATTTACTGTACAGTTAATTTTATTTAATAAAACAAATTATATAAACAATTGTAATACGTTGTCAAAAATAATTAATTTTTATACTTGATATGTATCTAATGTCATTTTCTAGTTTATTTCTTAAGCTTTCTTTTTTTAAACTATTTTCTTCTAGATGTTGCTCTCCTTTAGATTTCTCTTATTTTTAAATAAATTTTAATCTATATTCCTCATTTTTCCTGTAATCAAATATATTACTACCTGGGTATCTATCCTGCTTTCTTATATTTCTTTGAAATGAAGAATGTAGAGATATCTCTCTTATCTTTTTGGTAAACATGTTTTTCATTGCATTGGAACCAAACAAATCACGAAATATTAAATCTTATATATATTATTTACCAATGAAATGTACAATTTTTAATAGTGTTTAATAATGTAAAAAATGAACTAAATTATGATTTTTTTAAATAATCTCAATTAATTTAATAAATGACATTTATAGAACAATTTTATACATATCAAGTATTTTTTAAAAGATTAGTTTCTTTACATATCGTTGATTTGTATATATTCTCTGTGCTTTTTCCTCATAGCACTTAATTGTATATCTATTTCATTTTAAAAAAATCATGTATAAACGAGAAACAAACGCGTTCTTTATTTATTTCAAATATAAAAAAAAATTATGTATGTGTACGTACAAAATAATATTTGTATATATTAATATACAATATTATAATAAAATATTATAATATTAATATAAAATATTATAATAAAATATTGATGATTACAATAATATTTAAATTTTCAAATATAATTATTCTGCGATCTATATATCGTAATTATGAGTTTGAGGGATTAATGCAAGTCTCGCTTCGTGATACGACGAAATCGATTTCTCGATTAATCCTCAGGTATTTCTCATTATGAACAACTTTTTATTTTATTTATTATGCTGCTATTATTACATCGCTCTTGCAAAAGGCAGATTTTCGAAAATCTATTCCCATAAATACTGTGGAGACTAGATTCTCGATACTTAGGAACACAGTTTAGTACAAATTTTGTTTTATAAAAAATAAAAATAAATACATTTTTATGTTATATGTATATATAATTAATATGATAATATTAAAATTGGATCTAATATTTGCGGCTAAAGAAAGAGTATTCCAAATAAATGAATCATCCATGAAAAAATATATAAAAAACGTTGAAAATAGCAAATAAGAATTGATATTGTGAAATTCTATACACGTAATATTTTAATACGTAATATTTTCAATATTTTATTTTTTCATCACGTAATATTTTAATATTTTTCATTTAGTATTAGAAATATGATATATTATTATATAACTCTTATATTTAAAATACAAATAACAGGAAAAAATATATATAAATATATAAAAGAATGTTTATATAAGAATATTATATTAATATTTTTTTACTTATATCTATTTATATGTATGTTTATGCATTTTTTTCCATTTTAGGTAATATCGTTAGACTGATCATGCCAAGTTTCATCAAAGCTAGGGACCATTTGTTGGTCGATTATATATATATATATTCTATTGCTCATATTTCCAATAGATACGTGAAATTTTGAAAAGCGTACTCTTCGGCGCAACATTTAATAAATAATTGATTTTTTTATTATATTGCTTCTTGATTTTTCCAACTACGTACACATATATTTATATTAGATTTATATTCCTGTATACAGAATAAAAACTATGTATTAGTAAAAAAAGGGAAGAATTTATAGAAAATTTATAGAAAATTATTATATATATTCATATACAATAAAATATATAATTATTTCAGAGATTGAAATAATATACTAAGGGACGAAAAAACAAGTTTTTCTGTTTCAAAAACTGTTAACTTCATAATAATGTCGCTCTTTGCACATTATTATTAACAACTGCGATAAAGTGCGACGCAAGCAACTTTCTGCATGTACACCGCAATAGTTTTAAATTACAACATCCTGTAATATAATACGAAAAAAAATTTGCTTCAATCGTGCATTTGTGTAATAATTCGAAAAAATTGCTTTACTCAACGAAATATATGATAATTAAAAAGATATTAAGCTATAATGTCGAATTAAGTTGTGAATTAAAAATGATTTATAGAATTCCTAGTCAATTTTGTAATTCAAATCTTTCTTCGAAGATAACAATACTATTACAATTATAATTCTAACACTATTATTATTACAATTTATCCGAAAGACTATATATCCTTGAGTTTAGTTCATTAACACGTCAAATCTGTTGATTTTATTTTTTATTAACGTCTGCTATCACGCGTATTTACATTCTTTCTTATATATTATCTGGGTTTAAATTATCGGGATAAAAATATCTTGATATTAACTACAGAGAGGGACCTTGATTTTTAATATAAAAATTTAAAACCGTGAATTTCAATCGTTTTCTATTAAATTCAACAAATTTGTCTAACATGTATCTATTTTAATTTAAACATTGCATGTGTTTCGAATCTTAATAAATCATATTGAGTTACATTCCAAAATTTATTTCTTGGACTAAAGTAGCGTTAGATTGACTAATCAGAAAAAAAATGTTCCGATTGATAAATTAAATATCATTCCAAGGAGTAAATTTTGAAAAACAATTTGAAAGCGTCAACATTTTTTCTTTTGTTGCCGTTTCTGAAAGTTGTTTACGTCGTCATGTTTTTTTCGTATAAGACTCCAGTTACGAGTTTCATAAGTCTGTGGCTGAAATCAAACCGTGTTGATCGTATTTATATTTGACGTGCTCGAGTCTCTCCTGCATTATTCTAGTTAAGGCGACGAATGATCACGCATCGCACGCGTGTCTCTTCAACACATTTAGTGAATTGGTATTCATTAAATTAGAAAAGCGATATATATTATTATTAGAGTGATATATATTATTAAAGTGATACATGTTATTAGAGTGATATATATTGGAGAGGAGGAATACATACAGGTAAATTGAGAGAAATCAAATTTTACTTTACTTAAAAAAAATACTGTAAAAAATTCATGCCCAAGTTATAAATCATTTTCTAAAATATTTTATCAGGAGACGTTTATCAGGCTAAGTCAGAAAATAATAGAAATAATTTGTGCTTGCATGTTCAATATAAATATCGTAATTATTGATTATTATTTCTCAATATAATAGAATATATATCGTTCCCGGACAACATAAAGTCAAAAAACATCTTAAAAATATCTAAAGTATGGTGAAATTTTAAGTCGTTTTTAAAACGACTTTTAGAGATATATGTTATCTGGATTTACACACACACACACACACATTAGCGTCAAAAATTATTTATTAACAAGTAAAAAATCGATTATTTAAATATTTTCTCTCTGGAATGAATAAAAAAATAATTAATAAGATTTATAAATAGATGATGTCGTATTGATTTGCGACTATTTATGCAAAGAGATGCCTGTATTTTTAATATAAAACGATGTTTACAAATATAATTTCATATATGTCATATATGTCCGCGTGAACAAAGTCCTTCTTACATTGTCTGATCGTTTAAAAATCATTTTTTTCTCTACTTACCTTTCAACATCAGATAATGTAAGACTATTTCATCTTCGTATAAAAAATTGAATATACATTGGTTATAAATTATATATATATAATATATATATAATATAAAAAATAATTATATATATATGTAATATCTATATGTAATAATATCTTCTCTTTGTTTGTTGACAGATATAATTTTTCGAATCAGATAATATGGATTTTTTCACCGTTATTGTTTTTGCTCTACTTATATTCTACTATGGTATCTATCTAATTTTACCCTGCATTTTTGACTGCGATTTATTGCTCAAATTTAAAGAGATATTCGGCAAGCCCGTATGTAAGTACACTTATACCTTTTGTTAGTGCGAAATCTGAAAAACGAGAAATTTTTCTTCAAGTGTCGTAAATTAAATGAAATAAATAAAGAAGGATCTCATTTTACACGATTTATATAATTGGCGACAGAAACATTCCAGACAAAGTTTTCTTTTTTTAATATAATTATTTATATTTTAAATAACTTTTTTATATTAAAAAATTCTTACTACAAAATTTGTTGCAACTTACATGGATCGTGTAAAATAAAGAAGCTTATAAGATATAAATGTATAAATTAATCTATATCGATTTATTTCGTGTTGTCACAGCTTCTTTGAAGGGCAAAGTCGTATGGATAACTGGTGCGTCGAGCGGTATCGGAGAGCAATTAGCCTACGTGCTAGCTAAAGCTGGCTGTAAATTAATTTTGTCCGCTCGGAGAGTTCCTGAATTGGAACAAGTAAAAAAGAGATGTTTGCAAGGTAAATTGACGTATTCCTTCCAATAATTTTTCTTCATATAATTTGAGATACTAAATTGTATAAAAATATGCTACTTTTATAAATGTTTCATTCTCTTCTCTTCAGAAAACAAATACTTGACTGACGACGACGTGGCAGTATACCCTTTGGATATGATTAATGTGGACTCGCACAAAGAAGCATTCCTATACGTGATTGACAAATTTGGAAAAGTACGTTTTATATATTTTGTTATATAATTTATTGATAACGTGTAATAACGTATGATTGCACGATTCGATGAAATTTTTTATATATTTTTTAATCTTAATAATCTTCGACATTTTTCACTTTTTATTATATTAATATTCATTATTTATTTATCTAATATTTATTATACATTATTTAATATATGTTATATACTTATTATATATTTATTTAATAGAAAAAGAGCTTTACTATGACATGCATTTCAGTTGGATGTACTCGTTAATAATGCTGGTCGAAGCCAAAGAGCGCAATGGAGGGAGATTGAAATAGAAGTTGATAGAGAAATGTTTGAATTAAACGTATTGTCAATTGTATGTCTGAGTAGACTAGCTGTTCAATATTTTTTACAAACAGGCACTGGACATATTGTCATTAATTCTAGCGTCGCGGGATTTGTACCGTTAGCTATGTCAGCGACTTATTGTGCTACTAAATATGCGTTGCATGTAAGTACTCTTAATATGATAATTTTGTTGAACGAATGCAATAATGTTGCGAAAATCTTTAAGAGAAATAGATAGTAACATTACATTATTCGCAGGGCTATTTTGAATCGTTAAAGCAAGAACACTCTAATATCGATGTGACGATCGTTTGCCCGGGTCCAGTGCAAACGAACTTTTTGGCCAAATGTTTCACTGAAAAATTTGGTGCAGTATGTATCACATGAAATACATTTCAAAATTTATGCAGAGTATATCTTATGAAATTTGAGATACGAAAATATATTGCGATCATGCAACTGCCATAAAAAATAATAATACAAAAAGAGTGAATAAAATTCACAATTTTATTTGTTTTTCTGAAAGTATATTTTAGTGAAACTCTCTCTCTCGAGTTTTGTACAACACTTTGTATATTCTATGTTAATTGATTACAACGTATACACATATTTAATCAATTGCCATAATCTGGTTATTTGTTTAGCAATACGGAATAGATACGAAAATAGACGAAAAGAAAATAAGCGCAAAACGTTGCGCAACTTTAATGGGCGTAGCGATTGCGAATAAGCTGGATTATGTATGGATCGCCAAACCGAACCTGTTGCGATTGCTCTACATACTTTATTGTTTCCCAAATGTCCTAAAATGGTATATCTCTCTTTTATTTATAATTCTTTTACTTGCATGTAATGAAATCTATCAAAAAATTCATTTCATTTTTAAATTTTGTTCTTCTTATATAGATTATCCATTTACTACACAAAACTTTAAAATTTCATTGATAATTTCACTTACTTTGTAATATAAAAAGCATTTAAAGAAGAAGAATATGAATATATTTAGAATGCATAGCACAAAATTATAAATAGAATTATATTGCAATTAAAGTGATTATTTATTAAGGGAGTTTGAATTTACAAAACTAGAAAAAGAAGAGGAACAAAACCAAATGAATTTTTCGATCGACTTATTATCGCGTAAAATTAATAACTGTATAAAATTTGTTTTTTTACAAAGGTTGAGAAAGCAAGTGGACCCAAAATATCTAATGAGGCTACGAGAAGGTAATATTGCCGGTCAGAACTAAAAAAGTTTCTCTACAAGTTTCTTTACAAGCAATGCCATATGAGATTATATTTATTATACTTTACAATGTATTAATATGTATATTCTCTAGGATTGTATTATATATTTCTATATTTTCTATATTTTTATAACACTACATTATTAATAATAATATCCTTATCTTAGAGAAAGAAATATATATTTCGATCTGCTTTTGTACATGTATAATATCATATTTATTTAATATTATAAATTAATTGTTAGGTTGCTTTATCGATTCTTTAAAATTCATCATTGTTTCTCGAGCTTTTTACCTCTCAAAATATTCTTTTTAATAATAAATAATAGAGGTTTATAGCGTCATGGCCTTAAATTGGTTCTTCGAATTAGGAAATAGACCCATCCGCCAGTGTCTCGTTTGTGGAAACTCCTTGCACTTCTTAGCACTTTTGTTCAGATATGTAGTCTGAGAATTTCGCGAAATTAACAGAATTATATCATATCTGAAGACGATATGAACGATGAAGTTCAATGCTTGTCTGAGTCAGTAGTTTGAACTATATCAATTATTAAGTGATCTAATTTGATCGACATTTGAAAAGTAAGATAGTTGTGCGAAATGCGTATATTGTGGAATTTTCTAAAACATGATCGAAACATAAATCGCTGATAATTACAATTAACGATTATTAAACCTTTAAATCTGTTCTTTAAATCTTGACAAATGACATAAAACTTATTGTGATGACAAATCTTTATTGAAGTGCGATCATTCATAATTGTAAGTAAAAATTTAAGCGATAGTAAAAATTGTAAATTTTGTCCCTTGTTATCGATCTTTATATATATATATATTGATAATAATTATTTATCTAACAATATTTAGAGACAAATATATTCGTCGATATTTTAAATTTTTGTAAAATGCAAACATAAATTATTAAATAAACTATTACTATATCATAATTTTCAATTATATTAATTTTTGGCTCTTACAATTGGCGCGCATAATATACATACTATCAACAATAAAAATCGTCTCTTTAATGATATATAAAAAATATCTCATGTAATTATTTCGCGATCGTCGCCAAATATCTTGCAATCATTATATATATGATTATTATTAATCGTTTTTTTGGGAGTGAGTGTGAGTGCTAGATAGAAATAGCAAAGGATTAACAAAAAAGGAAAGATCTAAGAAAACATCGGGCAACGTACAGAGCAACAATATGCGGTAAATAATTTATACATTATTTATCATTTATATTATGTTCAGATATATTACTATTTATTCTTTTTTTTTCGTTTTCTCGACAATGATTTATTCTAAATTATCCAAATTATTTAAATTTGTAATTATACTAGAGAATATAATGGAACGCATATATATAAAATATTTTGGATTATATTTTAAAATACTTAAAATAAAATGTTTCTATTAATAAATATCTTTAATATAATGTTCCTATTAATCAATATTTCTATATAGATAGTAATATTTTATAAAATGCTTCACAATAATAAAATATTATTTACATATTTTATACGTAAAAAATTAGAATTTTTTATTTTTATAAGTTTATATTAAAAAAAGAACTTTTTCGATAATTATAATATCAATTATTTTAATAATGATAATACTTAGTAAGTTGTAGTTGAATATGGATATAATAGATCAAATTCATTTTTTTCAAAGATATATAAATTTAAAGTAATAACTTTTGCAGACTTTTTTGATACAAAAAATGTAATTACAAACAAATATATTTTATTAATTAATTTTTTGAATTAATTTAATTTTTGGTCTCTTTTAAGAAACCATTTTGCAGGAACTGGACGTCCTACCATTTCATATTATGATTAGTTTATAGACAAGTGCATATGTACATATAATAAAATACATGCGCAACTAGCCGTATTAAAATTTTATATTATATTTATTTAAATATATTTATTAAAAATATATCAAAATTAGACTCTTTTATTGATCATATATTTTTCAAAAATTTTTATTTAGAAAAGATTTTTTTCGGTAATTGTGCAATTTATTATATTAAATATTCGTTTAAAAAGCAAAAATCGTTGCATAATAATTATTTATTTAAAAATTTATTATCTTGGATTGTCTACTTTATACAGAATAGATGCGCATAAAGTAGATGTTCTGTATAAAAAAATTATTAATTAATTGTATTTGCTTAATTTATATTTGATCTTTGTTTAATAAATCATATTTAATTTTATTTAATTCGATAATATATATGTATATTAAATGTTTCTCTAATGTTAATTTCTAAATGTATACTTCGACATAGATTTTACTATCTTATCTTTGGTACTTTATACAAGAAAAAATTATAAAGACAAGAGGAAAAGGGAAATATAATTTTAAATGTAATTTTTATTTAGGCTATGTACAACACATACGTACAATACGTGACCCTTACTTAAAACTATGTTACGTTCGTCCGGTATGCATTTCCACTTAATTTAACTTGTCCTCTCAACACAATGTGATTTCGTGTGTGATTTTGGATGCACGAGCTTACACGTGTCCACGCGTGCCGTATATCTTTGTATTCATCGTGTACACGATTGTGTATATGTGTTATGTATGCATGAGTGTGTAGTGTGTATGTGTAAGATATGTTACAAATTTTTTAGGAACATTTCTCGTGGAATGCCGCGAACGATAATAATAAAGTCGCAGCGAAACTACACGAAAACAATGCGCAGTCGTCTGCAGCTTCATCCTCGAGTCAATATATTGATTAAACAGTTATCGAAAAATGACACCAATATAGACGATTGTTGACTGGACAGATTCCGAATATTATTGAAAGGCGCCAGGGAAAAGTCGCACGCGAATCGCGTATTAATCGTTTGTATTTCGCTTGCATTTGTATAAAATTTCTGCTGAGAATTTTACATAGACAATTTTCGCGATAAATTTTGAGATAAAAAATTTATTTCATGGAATTTTTATACGTAAAAATATTTATAGCATCACAAAATTAAATGTAATATTTCGAAAATTGAAATTGAATAAAACAATAACTAATATGTATTTAACAGTTCTTTTTTCAAGAAGTTATATAAAGCACAATAATCTTTATACATAGAATTTCTTATATATATATATATCTATATTAAATACATATAATTGAATTAAATATAAATATAAAATTAAAAATAATAATTAAATATAACATAAAATATAAATATAAAATTAAAAAAATAATAATTAAATATAAAATAAAATATAAAATTCTGCCGATGTGTAGAGGAATTTGAAATATAAACGGTTAAAACGACGAGAGCTTCGATTCTCTGTTTTTACGCGGGAAAGCATCCGGACGACGGACGACCGTAATAATTAACCGACTTGCGGCAACAGAGTGAATAATGCTCGTTCGACAACCAATTCAATTTTCATGCATATCTGCTACGTTGTTTGCGAATAACACCTCGATTCTCATCATGTTGCAGTCATCTCAACGGCTGTGAGTTATTCCGCGACATTAAGCAATATTATTTGCCTGTTATTATTCGCCTGTCGATGCAATCGTATTGAATATTACGAGCACAACATTGTTACACAATATGATCCGTTAGCGATAATTACATATTTTAATCTTGGATGTGCGAGTAAGATAAGGTGCGACCCCACCTTTTGCATGTTAACTCTGTTTGACTAGCAGATAATCAGTAACTTTGTGACCTGTGCGTTTGTCAAATGTGTATACACTGATTTTAGCATAATCAGTCACTTTACAGTGCAATTCAATTTATACTTCACTCATTCAGGATTAAAAGAATCGCCGCGATGCCGACGATGCTCTTTTAACACAACATGGCATTTGCGAAAATAACAATCGATGAATCAAGAGTAAATTTCTTCGTCTAATAAATTCGTCATTATAATCCGTTGTCTCTGACGAATCTACGGCACCGGATACTTTCTCAATGTAAAATAAGATTAAAAGCTGTTGCACACAAATTTACACAAATATATAAGCGTACCGTACAATAATATCTCGACGAACTTTGTCGATGAAAATCGTCCAGCATAGAAATTCTGTCAAACAATACTGTAAACTGATGCTGAACATTTTATTGTCCCCGATACGCTGATACACGTCACATCCTCATTTTAAAAATGACACGAATTTAAAAATATGAGCAATGTTATCAGTTATTCTTATGTCATCTTATGATCACTTTTATTTGTAACTTTTATCTTAAACTCACACATATTTTCTAGATCGAATATACATTTACAGTTAGTGTTTTACGTTTCATACGCCTTTTTATATGTAATGTAAAACGCAAATCACATTGTTTGGTGTCACTTTTGGAAGGATGGTGAAGCGAGTACTTTTGTGTGCAACGACGTTTAATGTGTGAACGAAGGGGTGAGTTTCGGGCGATACGAAAAACCCCCTGGCGCCCCTCAAATTTCAAACGCAAAAGCACTGTCAGATACCGCCGTCCAACCGCGCTCCCGTCTCCCCTGCCCCTTGTTATCCAAAATCGTGGTCAACATAAGCACACAAATCAATGCCTAATATCATTCACTAAGGGTATGCTTACACTTTTAAAAGGACATTGAAAAATCGCATATGCTAGAGTATCTGCCGATTACACGCTCTCTATGTATCTATAATCTTCGTCCTTATGTACAGTCCCGTCCTTTGCCCCCCCTTCCCCCTTTTTTCCGTCAATTAACGAAAGCGTGGCACGTATCGTTGTTAAGAGATTAACGAATTGTCGCGTGCAAGTGTATTAAGTGTGCATTTGCGCGTCATGTGTGACATGTTTCTCTTATCGAAAGTAACTAGAAAATAGACACCCGCTATACGTAGAAAATATACAGCTCTCGCGACAAATGGTTCTATGTTCTATACACGCCAATCGCAGAATTATCGCTATCCGCGAATCCAAAGTATGAGGTGATCTCAGATATCGCGCATTCTCTCTTGAATAAAGACTGATCTTTCCTAGCATGTAAAAAAAATTAAAAAAATTTGTCTGCCCTGCAGAAATCGAAATATAAATACGACAATCTAACAGAACTTGAAAACAATTTTTCATTATTTTTTAAATAAAAATAAAATTAACAAATAATAAGACAAACTTAAATGTTATTTTAAATCTTGTATCTTTTTGCCGTGACATGATTACAGACATTTAAAATAAATTATGATCAAGTTTTTCCCTTAAAATATTGAATCATTAACAGTTTTCGAACAAAGCAATAAAAATCTGAATAAGAAATTAAGTTTTGTCACAATTTGATTTAATTAATTAAAAAATTAACAATGTATAAAAAATGTAAACATTTTTTTCATAAATTCAATCTTAAAATTGACTTGACAAATTTTGTTTTACGATTAGAATTTTAATTTTGATAAGATTTATACGAGAACAAATGTGTATTAAATTCAAGCGAGAAATTCAAGAAAAAAATGCGCGATATTAGAGAATATTAGCGATTTATCAATCTGTGCGTTGATCGTAATACATTCTATGTCGCGGTAATCACACGAGCAGTCGTAGGCAAGATTCTAAATAAGTGTACCAATTGAATTGATCTGCAACAATATTTTTTTTTTTTTTCGCACAACGCAATCAACTTTCGCGCCCTGAAACTCACATTTCGGATGCTCGAAATAAACGCAGTCATTTCATCATAGCGTTTAATCGAATTTAACGTCGAGCTTAATAATAACATTTAGCTTGCCCGGACAATATATGTGACGAAATCCAAAACGTAATGAGAGCTTTCACGCGCGTGTATTCGCAATATATTGCGAATCGAGCTCGTTTGCTGTGCAAAGCGAGGATGTGTCGCGAAATCAGGATGTCGATGCGGCTGTGCGAGGCCGATTGGCGGTAACGCAAATGGGATCATCATCCGTATTTCTGCTTTTATCTCTTGCCTTTTTCGTTTGCGAAACGGCGAAACGTCGATCGGGCTTTGTCGATCTCGTCACTTTACACTCTTGTTTCTCATTCCCCGTCGATTACGATCGGTTCGATCATAAGTATGACATCGGATTTCTGACGAGATCCTTGAATCGCCCTCCCGCCTCCGTTTACAATTATGTTTGATATTGTAACATGGGTGCGGCCAGGTTGGGGTGGTGGGCTGTATTCATTCTCAGAGCCGAGATGCTCTTGTTGTACCATTCGTCTTCCGCTGACATTCCTGAAACGGAAAACACGTTTTAGGCGAACCACGAGAAATTTAAGATTGCCAAGAGCCTGACTTATTATAATCTCTCTTGTTTTTTTATTTCTAAATTATATTCCTACTTGTTAATACTATGATAAAAATAAATTTCTAGCATGTAAAAGTTATATTACAAAAATATATTATTGTTATTTATTATTTAATATATTATTTATATATTAATATGTTATTTAATATTTTACATTTTATACAGTAATCACAAAAAAATATTACAATTTTATCTATATTATATGCATATTTTTAGAGGATTATAATTTTATTTTTTTAGGTAAATTTATAAATTATATCTTTAATTAATTCTGTCTTTTAATTCTATTAGATTAGTATAAAATATTTATTATGTTATGTTAAATGAGGAAAAAAGAAAGACATTATCGCTTTTGTGGTAAAAATAGTTATAGCCAATTAAAAATAAACATTATTAATTATGAGAGAAAATTTTCTTATTCTACATCGCCATCTGCGTTTGCGTTCGGTTTGTGATACCATTATAGTTTTTATATTATTAAATTTATAAGATTAGCTTATCCATGACTAATTAAAGGAATTTTGCGCTGAAGAAGGCTTGAATAATTGAGCCGAAACGTCCGCTTCCCCCCCCCCCTCACTTTTTGTCGATTTACTGTATTCATTTACATTCTGATTTATATTTGTCAACATGATACTAACATGATAATTACTTATATATATTGTTTTGTATAATTTTTTTGTATAATTAAATTTTATTTACAGAATAATGTTAAATTAATGAAATTGTCATTCACGCTCCTAAAGCCGTTTCTCTATATTTTTAATTTAATGGAGCAATGATTATAATTTATTATTAATTATAATTTTAATTAATAAAACACCTATTCTCCTAATAAAAGTCGATATCGAATGTCACGGCGCGAAGAATAGCGGATTTTTTTTCTCTCCCGAAAGAATCTTGAAAAGTGATTCGATTTAACGACTTTCCGCGGAGCTTTATCGAGTCTGCTAATCGGTCAATTTGCTATCGCATTAAGGAGAGAGGCGTTAAATCGTTAAGGAGAAGCGGCGAGATTGCGAGTGGAGCGGAGCGTAGAGCAATCGCTCGCTCGCTTACTCGCTCGCACCGTGCAACTTCGACGGGCAGGCAATTCGCGAATAGTCTTGATTCGATTTAAAAGCGATATTCCATCTCGCGCCGGAAATGGTGTAAGACGGCGCTGGGGAGCGGAAATGGAGAGAGCGTCTTGGAGGCTGGCGGGTAGAGTTCTCTCGTGCCCGGGCGTCGGATTCGCGCCATTTCCGCTCCGGATTTTTGCGGAATCATTCGATAACGGCGGGTCAGCATCCGCGAAAACGGCGCGGGAAATCGCCGAGAAGCTGGACGAGAAAAACGAAGCCGAGAGGCCGCAGAAATTAGTTTGTTCGCGAGATGTCGGAAGAAAAATTGACATGTGTGCGATAGCCGAGAGATATTCTGATGCAAAATATGTGTACATGATGATGAAGTTCATTGCGAGATAATGCGTTTGATAAAAATTCAATAATTATTATAAAATTATTATAAATCACATAATTGTTAATTTACAGAGTACGTTGGTTTTGCAAAATGTCAATTTTATTCAATTTTGACGGTTCTAACAATATCCGGTTATTATATAAATTCACTTTTTTACACTCTTCCCATAAAATTAACTCCTACTTATAACAAAATTGTTTATAAATGCAATTTTGCTTTAAATTAAATTCTTTCGTTTAAGATATTTTTGTATTTTATTCTAGGAAACTTGGAGTATTTTTTTTTTTTTTTGTAAATATCGGGGAGGTAAGATACGAGTTTAGATTCGAATGCGACAATGCGCGAATCGATTTCCCGCAAAAGAGTAAAATTGGTTACCTTCAAATTCTGGAATTAAAGACATTTGCATGATCCTTGACCTAAATGAGAGGGTAACGCGTGAACCATTCATGTCGCTCACTTTACGCATATGCTCGCACCTAAAGCACTGGCGTTGCATTATTTATGACTCACCCATTGCATCTTGTCGCATACCGGTAACGGCCGACATATTCGACGCTGAATGCGACATGGAGAACGGCTGGGTCATGCTCGGATAAGACGTCGTGCCCATCTAAAACACAGTTTGTCACGATCAATGACGTTGATAATTCGATCCATGATTTTAGCGAGAGGGAAACTAACGATCAGAACGTTAAAATTTAATCACGATTTCACCACGTTCCTCGGAATACATAATTCTCCTTAATTAAATAATATTGAGATCGCGTTAAAAGATTTATCTGTTCTATTCTGTTTGAAAAATGGACGCGCGATTTTAATATTGCGTGTAATTAATTTTTCACGGGCAATATAAATGAGCGAAAATGAATTCTGCGATATCAATGGAATTACAGAGTAACACGTGCGCGGTTTCAGAGACTGTTCTGAAATAACGAGAAGAAAGTAATGCGGTAATTAACGTGTATGAAACATAATTATCGGCTATAAGCCACTCTTACATCTTCGCTCGCTGGGATAAGCAAACGCGAAATCAAATGTGACGAGGGGGATATATGGTTTCATTATAAAAATTAAATGCGTAATATACGTTCGGAACTGATGGAAATTAATAATACGTCGCGGTGTCTATTTCCTGGTCGTAATCAATTTTCCAACGTGTTACGTGATCCTACGTAATATCACAATTATTAAATACAATCTGATGAAGATAGAAGGAAAAAAACTAGATCCTCTCTGAACGATAAAGAAATTTGCATGGCATAAAACGATAAAAAGTTGTATTTTCTCTGATACTATTTTCCATCGATGCTTTTATCAATTTTATTATGAAGAATAACTATTAATTATAAAGTTATTAATTATAAAATAATTATCATTTATTTTATATATACATATATATATATATATATATATATATATATATATATTCATGCTTTTATTATAATTTAATATTGTGTATACGTGTATGCGTGTTGGCTGGCATATTATTATTAAATATTTCAAGAATCCTGAAAAAGATATATCCACACCTCAGAAAAAATACCTCCATTTTAATCTCTTTTATCGTATAATTTATTTTCTTAAAAATTCAATAAAAAAGAGAAAAGAAAGAAAAAAAAGAAAAAAAATAGGATTAAAGACTGCGTTAAATGAATATAAGTCTTTTTTTTTACAAAGAAACCGATAGACACGCTCGTGAATTATCGGCTCAATTAAAACGGTAGGCATTCGGTAATTCGGCCGACCCAACTAATCAGCCGAAATGCAATTTAGCTATATCGACCGATAGCGATGCGCCGGACATACACGCTCAGGTGCACTCCAATTTAATACCTCGGTTAAAATCATTAACGAGAAACGCATCGAATTCATTCGCAATATGGACCTTCAAAAGCAGCCGAATCTAGCCGTTGTATCGAAATTCTTAGGTAAAAAAAATTTATCGATATACATATATATATTTTTTCAAATAACGCATTGGTTTCGCGTGTGATCGACTTTTAAAATAAAAATATCTATTAATTTATATCGCAATATTTTCACAGTGCAATTCTATGACTAATCGCGTGTTAAAAAACGGGTATATTTTAGTGAAAAATATTTGAAGCAATTTTCTCAAACCTCAATTCGGACACGACTGTCAAATATTTAAGTGAGTTTGATTTTTTTATTTTTTTTTTCTCTCAATTAAGCACTAAATTCAAAATAAAATTCGAATAATTGCACACAAAATAAGAGTAAGATATATAATATATGTTGTAACATATCTTTTATAATTCTTTTCCTGTTTATATCTATTCTTGTTTATTTTGTTTACTAATAATTTGTTTATATTATTTACTTGCCATTATTGAGGGTGTATCTTCGCGCTGAGTGTATTGGTGAGCGTGCAAAGCGGCGGGTATCGATAATAATGAAATTTCGGAAGCGTCCTGCGCGTCGTAAGGGAGCCTCACCTGGGGATAACGATTTATGCCATTTATGCTGTTGTGAGGATGGGGGTAGGGTTGATAACCTCTGCTAGCACCAGGATAGATATTCCTCATCATGGCACCTTGGCAGGCGGGAATTGGTGTCAAAGCCTTCTGCAATTGCTTCTCCTGCTTCCGGTATTTCGCTCTTCTGTTCTGGAACCAGACCTACGCAGAAATAAAATTGCATAAGCGAATAGGTGCAATCGTATGTGTTAACGATATTTAAACAATTAGTACAACCATCTTATTTTTCTATGCATATATACTATTAATGTGTCGACTATTAGATTCTAGCTGTGTATTATTATTATTTCTTTAATTTATGCAAACCCAATTACAATAATAAATATATAAATATATAATAAATATATAATATAATAAATAATAAATGTAATATAATAATAATAAATGTATATAATAGTATATATATAATAATTAATGTAATATGTTAATATAATATTAATAATATATTAATATAAAATATTAATATATCTAATTTGATATTTTATACTAATATTATTATCAAATATATACAAATATATACAAATATATTAATATAAAATATCTTTTATAAAAGAAAGAAAGAGAGAGAGAATTTATTAAATTTTATATTATATATAATTTTATGTGTGTGTTACACAAACAATTAATGAAACATATGTTAGAGTTATGGATTTATTTTTTTCCCCGATGTAGTTTTTTATATTGCATTTATTCGTTGGAATTGCTTCGAAATAACTTGAATCTATACATCAATTGCTTTGGAAGCGTTTCGCCAATACATATATTCTAAATTGGAAAGGAAATATCAACGTTCGATTCGATTGTTTTACAAATTATAAATTCGTTTCGCTTTAAAGCCTCAACAATCTCTTCTTTTTCTGCATAAAAAGTATTTGTTTTATACATTTTCACGATATTTTTAAGACGAATAAACAGATTAAAATATTAAAATCCGCAAAATTAATATATATATTTATGAAAATAGTTATTACGTACTACAAGATATATTCAATATTTCTTTGCAATATGTTTGCGACAAAATAGTGACCAGGAAACTAACAAAGTGCTGCATCATCGTACACGAGTACTTAACAATTAATTTTAGGACAAGTGAGTCGACAGTGATCCTGCGATCAAAAAAAAAAATGTCATGAATCTCTCGAGTCAAAAAGTCGCTTCTTTTTTTTTTTCTTTCGCCTCTTGAACGGATCCTAAGTTTATCCCCGGCAACCCAGGGTGGTTTACCTATCGCCATTTTGCATCGGGCAATTTCCATTGTTTCGCGGGATTAGTAAACCCATATTGGGGCTTGCCTGAGCCGCCACCGGCGACTCATCCCGGCATCCACACTGGCGCACGTTTCCGCACCCCGGCCCACCATCCCTCCCCCCTTCGGCCCCTCATCCACGTCCACCCCCGTAACCCCCAACAATCTCCACCCTCGCGCCCTACTCTATCATCCAACTAACAGACCCCTCTTTCCAAGGCCCCCGCCAGAAAGAGAAAAGCCTGCGGCTTCTCGTCCCGGGTCGGGGTTGTTTCCACCCTTACCGGTGACGTCACCGGCGCCACCCGATTGGCCGATGCTGCGGCAGTGACGTCACACCGGGCTCGCTCATTGGCCAACACGTTTTATCGACATTTCTACTGTGCACCCTCTCTCATCGCCGCAGAAGTGGGTGACACGAACCGGGGTGGCTCGAACCAGGTCTGTTCTCTCTCAAATTCTCACTCTCTCTCTGTTCTTCTTTCCCTCCCCTCCCTTTCTCCCTTTCTCTCGTTCTCCGTTATTCTCTCATACTCTCTGCATCCTTCTGCCTTACTCACTACCCAGCTCTATCACTCTTTATGTGGAAGCATGGCGTTTCCGAAGAGTGTCTTCTGAAATATCTGCAGCGACGTTCTCGTATCAACCCGAGTACGCAAGAAAAAATTACATGTTAGCAGAAAATAGATATTTTTTTCATTATAGGAACTCCGTCTAATTTTGGTTCAATGTTTTTCAAAATTAACAACTTTGCCTTTTGTAATTTTCTATTGTTTTGCTACTCGGATAACGTAAAGAAATATTGCAGATTTTATCTTAAAAAAGAAACTTACACATGAACACACACACACACACACACACACACACACACACACACACACACACACACACACACACACACACACACACACACACACACACACACACATATATATATGATATATAAATTTTCTTAAAATATGTCTTCAATTTTATTAATTAATATTTAATTCTCTTGTCTTTTTAAAGTATTGTATATCTTTATTTCTTGACGATTGTATATATAATATATATAGTTTATGCAAATCAAGAAATTACAATATTTAATTCATAGTGAAAAATATATATTGCGATTATTGAAATATACAAACTTCAATAATGATTGAATAATCAGAAAAGATAAAATTAGAAAACAAAAATATTTCGAGAAATATATAATTTTACAATTATTTCATACTATTTCTTTTACAAATATTTAATTAGAAGCTGGTTTGTTATTAAAAAGTATTTAATTAATTCAAACATTTTTCTAAACGCTTTATATCAATCAATAAGAAATTTATTTTAGTTGAAAATAAATATAAGAAAGAAATTTATAACTATTTTAATTAATCATTCCTCTCAGTTAATTATAAAGTAATTTTGATGCTAATTTATTAATCTAGCAATATAGCGTCAAACGGCAGTCTGACGCGATAAAGGTCGTCACTTACGTCAAGATCTATATCGTGTTAATTCACACCAAACAGATTAACCCCTACGCAAGAAATTAATAGTTCATCAGCAGTGGGATTATTTTCGCTAATGATCTTTCTATTACAACACGTTGCGATGTCTCTTGATGGTATGTTCAAACTTTGTACAAGTATTATCTTGCAAATTTCATATACGACAAAAATAACGTAATAGAAATATTTGCAAGAAAAATACATTATTTTATACAACTGCATATTTTTTCTATTTATCATACATACATATTTTTAGAAAAATTAATTTTTATATTTTATTAATTTTATTTAACCGTATAAATATTCATATTGGACTCGATGATATTGAGTGGCAAACGAATTTAGACAAGTAATTTTGCGCAGCTACAATTGACTTTTGGATTATCTTAGATTTTACTTAGATTGTCAAATTAATTAAAATTCAAAGTTATGAGTTCAGCGAATTCAATTTCAATTTATATTAAATGTGATAAAACAGGTTATTTGAAAATATATATATAATTCATAATTTAGTTTTTTATTCATATAAAATTATATATTTATAGGCGCACAATAGAGAATCAAAAATTCCCAAAATGACAATTAATTTTATATTGAGTAAATAGATAGAATCATCGCTAGAAAGATACCCTCGCAAATCGAATATAAATAAAAAATAAAAATAATAATTTCATATATATATTTTAATGATAAATGCTCTTGCATAGGAAATTACGACGAATGAAGTTCTGCAGTAGAAACATCTAGACACGCCAAGCGGAGTAATGGAATCTTATTTAGATTAAGTTCTTGCCGCGAAATTGGCTAGAATCCGGGATTACTTAGTCGAGAGAGATAGCGAGTACTCAATTCGGATATGAAATATTATAGAGAATCGGTGCGATTATCGGAACAATAATAATCAGAATATTAATTCTAAAATGAATGAATCTTGAGTCGAGATTTATATCGAAAGGGATCTCTCGTTGGGGCAATTCAACAATCGTAGATTACAGCGGAAATGATAGAAATTACCGAGTTTGCGATACTTCTTTTTTAATGATATCACTGGTAAATTTGCAAATAAAAGGAAGAAAATATTCGCAGTGACGGGAGCGATGCACAAAGATTCCGAAGGTAAAGCCACATTTGAAGACTCTTAACAAAGGGCTTGATTAACATTTTCATGACGAGCATGCATCGTTCTAACTCACATGTATGGAAATCGCGGAACGTGCGAGAGGCAAGTCGCATAATCAATCTCAATCCGCATTGGAATTCTCATCGCGGGGCGATTTGCAATTGCATAAAACACACTCGGCTTTCGAATAATCTGGCATTACCGTGTACAGTAGTCGAAGTAGCTGCTAATTCTAAATATGTAGAAAGTGTAGCGCATTAAAATATTTAAATGATAAGAAAGTATAACATACGTTCTAAAAAAAAATATATAAATATATATAAATATAAAAAATATATCGAATGATATCATAAATATTTGTAAAAAAAACTAATAACTGTATTCGGTACATTTTACATAATTAAATCGTACATTTCGAAAGTAAATCAAATTCTAAAGCTCGTTAAATCCCCCGAAGCATGAATAGAAATTAATGCGAAACCTATTTTAACGAGATTTTCAAAGTTGGATTTGTATCTGTCAGATGTACAAACAGAGCTCGATTGATTATCTTTTGGACCTCGCATTTTCGCGAGGACAGTTTTCCAAAAATTCCCAATAAGAACTCGATTCCCATATTTGCCGCTCCCCTGGTATGTTTTTTTTTCGCGTACATGCTTGTATTTCCGCCGTGTATATGCAAATGACATTGTCGACGCTTCGTTTAACTTGATACCGCGTGTTTCCGTAAAATCTAAAACGGGACGTATCTTCGCCATCGAGAATACTGTTGCGAATAGACACACACATCTATACGTATGCATGCAGAGAGTTCGAGAATTGGCGAAAACTGGAGATAGATAGTTTGAAATTCGCAGTCGATTTTTGTCAAGGGAAATAACGAAACGCGGATAGATGACAGATTGTGGCTAAAAATATTCAGAAATCACTTTTGGCGAGAGGCAAAAAGGAAACAACTAAACGCTACTCGTCGTTAAAGTAAAATTTACTTGAAACGTGGAAATTTTTAATTCAACTATGAATTGCTCCAGGTTTAAGATATCCCTCTGTTAAATCGATATTGATTCGAAATTTTCGACGGCGCTCCGTTTACTAGCCAACGTACATCCTGTACATACGGTACACATTTACGGACGGGTAGAATAGGTTGCCCGAAGAGAGATCCGGTAAAAGGGTGATTCCTTTTATTTGCCTCTTCCCCAGAAGAGCTTTTCGAGAACATACTTGCGTCCCTCAAGGCGCGCACTCTGCAAGAACTGGAAAGCTAAGAGTTCGTAATTCAATAACTGCTCTCCCCATCTCTCTCTCTATCTATCTATCTATCCGTCTCCTTCTTCCCGCTCATAGAGAAAGATAGAGGGAAAGAGTATGAGGTAGAAGAGAGATGGCTATTCCACGGGGAACGCGGCTCAAAATGTCTGCTACTTTGAGGACCGCGACCGAGAAAACTATCCTCCCCTGTATGCCTGAGAGAATACTGCACTCTGATAGCTAACCCACATACTAGCTCGAGAAAATGTGATACACGGGTAATGGCTTTCTCGTGAAAGAAAAAGAAGACAAGAGCGTGTAAGACCTATTAATATATAATGATATACTGTTGCGCATCCATTTCGGAAATTTTGAATATGATAACATGTGTAATTAAACATATATATTTATGCATCAATTTTAAGAATTATAATCAATTGTATGTAAATACATTTAAATATAATTACAGATGTATAGACATTATTTCTTTTATATTTATATTATTTAAAAAATTATAACTTTTTACCTCAACTTGCAATATTTCTAAACCGAAAAGTTCAGCTCAGATTGTATGATATTAAAATTAAAGTAACGAGGTAATTATTTATATCTATTGGTAGTTCGATGAAATTTATTTATTATTAAATTATTATTTACATAAGCGCGAAAAATATAAAGTCAAAGAGCAGGACACTTGGGAGCAATTTTTATGCTACTCTCATAAATTTTCTTGTTTCCTGTCAGATAGGAAGCCGATTTTCTCGTAAAACGCTCGACAGGTAGGTAGGCTTCGATCGGAAGTCGAATCGAAGTAAAAAGGTCGAATGAAAACTCGGCTAACTCAATATCGCGGAGCTCGGGATTTCTCTTTTCTTTTTCCTCGGCATAATGGGATTTCTTGTGCAATGATTCGAGAATTATTCTCTTACCACGGGGTGTTATTACGGGGTGTTATTCAATTTTGTGCTATTATTATTCATTATTGTCATAAATACTTTCGCGATCCTTGAGCGTATATTATATCGATTTGACAATGAAACATTAGAACATCTTTTCCGCGTTTGTAATTTTTTTATTATATATTCATATATATATAATAAAATATTTCTACGGTTTCTAATATTCTAATAAAAATTTGATTAAAATAAAATTTATCTTGTAAAGCAAATAAAATATATATGATTTTGTTATCAATTTATTATCTATTTAAAAAGGTAGCTAGAATTAGAAATAGAAATAATTTAATGCAACCATAACTATTCTATTTTTATTTGTAATTATCAAGCAATTATGAAAGACATTCACTCTGCTCGCCCAAGTGTTTTGCTTTACCTTCCTATTAAATTTATTTGCATGCTTGTGTACGTATACGTAGCAGTACATTACATCTTCGTACCAAGTTTCCTGCAAACCTCACTCGAAATGACATAAATGGACGGAAACGATCCTACACAAGGTATACCATGTTTCGCCTGGAAAACGCTCATTCAAGGTGCACTAATTTGCGCGCATGCGTTTGCGCGTTTAGAGAAATTGCAAATCGTGTAGCATTGCATCATCATCAGGGTTAAATCTACATAAAAAGTTATATTATATAATCTTCTCAAGAAATCTTACAGAGTACATTTTCTTAAAAATAATTCCTAATTATTTAAAATATATAATAATTATTTAAAGACTGTGTTAAATATTAATATCTAATAATTTGTCATCAATGTTGATGATAAAAAAATTGAGAAAATTGTATATTAAGTGAAATTTATTAAACACATTAATATCATGTGTATGTAAAATATTTCTAAATCGAAAAGTTCAGCTCAAATTATCTGATATTAAAATTAAAGTAATGAGATAATTATTTATATCTAGTTCAATGAAATTTATTTATTATTAAATTATTATTTATATAAGAGCGAAAAATAGAAAATATTTAAAAAGAGATTTTCTGAAAGCAATTCATACAAAAAAACCAAAAAACAATTAATAGATACTAAAAAAGTGTACGTTTATATGTCGTCAGATTTTGCGTCGTTTATTTTGCGTATATTTTATGGAAAAAATTACAGACGCCAACGCACACATCTCGAGAACGAATTCCATTTTTTTTTTTTCGCGAGAGACCATCAATCGAGCAACCCCGTAGATGTAGGAGTCGTTCCTTTAAAAGCTCCCGCGCTAGTCACGGCATTCTGTTTCCTCAAAGATAGCGACACGGGCCGTGGAGGCGGCGAGGACGAGAGAGAAATAGACGGCGAACGAGGGTGGCAAAGTTGAGATGAGTTGGGCGCGCAGGGGGTTGGGTGACGCTGTACCGGAGGCTGCCATTATATCTGAGCCGCCATTTTAAATTGAATTTTCTCCACCCTAGATAGATCTGAAACGTCTCAGGCTTGCCGGGCTCGCTATTCCTTCCACTACGAGACGAGAACGAGATGGTGCCGGGGCGTCGGGGAAGGGGGAGGAGATGGGAAGAACGTCGGGAGAGACAAGGGCCCCCCTTTCTTACGTGGCCGCCATCCTACCTTTTTCTTCCACCGAGAACCCCTGTTTTGCGACCGATACCTTCCTAAACCCAAACCGACCTCGCGATTCCTCCAGGGGACGACGAAATTTTCCTTCACCCTTCGCGTTCGCGCAGAAAACGGTAGGAGAGTGTCTCCGAATTTTGCGCTGATATTTATGACTTTTTCATCGATATCATTTTATATGAAATAGATAGGTATATAGATTGGAATAGATTTATAATTGGATGTTTAATATTTATTATTTTTAATTTTATTTGCACGATTAATTAAAATCGATTCCATTCTAGCGTATTCAAAAATTGTATTACGTGTCTTATTTACGTATATTAGATATATAATAGATATATAGCAGATATATAATAGATATATAATAAAGTGACTTAACATTTGATAAAAAATCATGAAAAATTTACAGAATTTCATTCAATTATTAAAGTAAAAAGAGAAAAAATGCGAAATGAGGTGAAATCTAATTTGAACGCGGTGTAAGAAATACTTCGGTCTCGAACCGGGACCGAAGAGTTATGGATACACATTTTGCTCCAAATCACGAAAGTTTTCTTATGCGAGGTGAAGCTACCATTGGCTCGACAGTAACCGAGATGCGTAAATCCGCGAGCGTTAATTACAGTGCGCGCTTTGCAGATTACAGGTAATTGGCCGATTCTGGGGCAGCCGCGCGCCGGAAAACCAGCGAGACTGGAAATGACATTTAAAACTGCGAGCCTTCCTCCCTCCCTGCCTCTCTCTCTCTCCCTCCCTCTCTCTCTCTCTCTCTCTCTCTCTCTCTCTCTCTCTCTCTCTCTCTCTCTCTCTCTCTATTCCTCTCGTGTTTGAGGTCGGAACGAACACAGGACCATCCGCCGCGCGGGTTGTGCACCTCCTCGCGGCGGACACTTTGTGCATCGGTTATAACCGGCGAGCGACGAGCGCAAACCGCGTTTTACTTGGCATCGCAGTTTAACAGGGTTAAGTCGCGGCGGTTCCCGGGCTTTTAACTCAAACAACACCCCGTTGCATTATATATCAAAAGAGCGCAACGCACCGGCGACTGTTTTAATATGTACCGCTCGCTCGCTCGGAATTCGGGACCGGTGCACGCCAACCCCGGCATCTCCCCCCCCCTCCCCACCGCCCTTCTCTCCTTACTCCTGTTCCCGCTTACCTCTTTCTCTCTCATTACCAAATCCTCCACCCTTAATGTCATCACAAACCGCATCACTGTCGGAGAAACTCACGTTTTCATGTCGAAGAAATTAAAAATTTCATTACTATAACTTTCCATGAATCTTAATCATCTTTTCCTTGCGGGAATTTATTTCATTACGCGTTGAAGAGGGAATAGCAATTGTCGATATGTTTTTTAAATGCTGCGATATCAATAAAAGATCATATCAGCCTCGCGAGCGAAGTTGAAAATATTTTATCGTCCAGCGTTTGATATAAACTCTCTTCGATTTATCGAAAGAAGTGTGTTGAAACCTGTCTACGGCCCCCTCCGATCAATTCCACGACCCTCAAAGAATATAGGGTGTCTTGGATCGACATTTGCGCGCGTAACTTCATTTTGTCACCCCACATGCATCTTTGATTCAATTACACAGTGAGTCACAGTCAAAAAGATAGACGGGAGATAAGTATGCCTAGAAACTTTTCGGCATCAAAATATAAAACATAATCTTAACGGTAGACTGTTAAAAATCTCAAATAATCGTTCGATTATGCAAAAAATTGCTGAAGAAAAAATGGTGCTAACAGATATTTAATGATGATAAATATGAAGGAGTGAGCTATCCTCGCATCGTTAATGAAAAAAGGACAGTGTTTACATTTTTAGCAGAAACTGATGCACTATTTCGATTCAACTTTCCTTGTGAGAAATCATACGCAACGATATCACCAATCATTATTGATCTAATTTACATCGAATCCGAAAAATCGTTTGTTTTGCCCTTATCTGCGAGAAGCGGAACACTCACCTGAATTCTGGCCTCGTTCAATTTGGTGGTCCTCGCCAATTCCTCCCTGCAGTATATGTCCGGATAATGAGATTTTGCAAACGCCGATTCCAATTCTGCCAGCTGCTCCTGGGAAACAATTGAAAAGCCGTGGTAAAGGCCGATTTGAACTACCCGGCAGGAAATTTCGGCGCGATACGAAAGATTAGAGCTAATCGAAATGTCATTATCGATCGCAGGATTCGATGTTCCTCTGCAGGAATACGTTTGTAAGAAATGTCGACGATGAAAAAAATATTAAAGAACAAAAAGGTGCTGGCAATAAAAAAAAATATACGTTGAATTATTCGCAAGGGCATTAAGAAGTGAGCATTTTGCGGATACTTTGGACGTGCCAACCTGTGTAAAGGTAGTCCTGTGTCGCCGTCGGGCGGGTGTTGGACAACTAGCCGTTGTAGGTGTGTGACCAATATGAGGACTAGAGGCGCAGGGGTCAGGCTTTAACTTTTTAAAAGCGCCTTCTGCTCCTGAAAAAAAAAGAAATTTAACTTTAACACTTTTACAAAAACCATCTCTAATAAGATTTGCCCAAATAAGCTACACGTCAAAAAAAAGAAACTCACTAATTTTCGCATCTGCCATCGTATTAAACTGAAATAATGTTTGCCTATACAGTCGATAGATAAATTTCAATTTTATTAACATTGCATTAATCAATTGTATTGCGTATGGATGTATAATTACTTCATAATTTCATAAATGAAATTACTCGCCGATTGCGCTTGAAATTATTTTAATGGCATATTAATGTGGCCATCAAATAATATATTGAGTAGCAAAATTGTCGAATGAATAACATAATATAACAATGCGTTAAATTGTTATACACACTAAATTTTATTCGTATTTAAAAGGTAATCTCGCTGATCAAAATGATTCATTATTGATCAGCGTGATGCGGAAAACGATCGGCTTTTTCCAATGGAACAACTTGCCGTCTTTCTCCTTAGGGAATACAATTGTCCTTACTTAGCGAAAAATAAAATCAAGAATCAGGTGTGCAAAACCAAGAATTCTCGGAGGCTCGTAATTTTGCAAAATTTCGTATAATTCCGCGGAATGCGTTTGAAGAGGTTTTTGCCTCTCGTGAAAGTGCAACACAGTCGAAACTCTTTTCCGCGAGGAAACCGAGTTACGTGACATTTTCCGAGACCAACGCGATAAACAAACTCCGTTAACGACACCCGGCTGTGAACGCGCGGTCAACGCTCTCCGCAGATTCCTCCACGCGTATTGTTCATCCGTTAGACGAAAGAGTTGAGGCAGGTGCGAATCGAAACTCGATTTCCCGTATCGCTTTCATCGCCGGAAAATTCGATATTCCATGGAAGGCGCGATCCGTCGAACTCCCGACCTCGGACAGGTGCGACAAGGTCCACGGCCGCCGCCGTCGTCGTCGGCATCATCGTCGTCTTGGTTGTCGGCGCGACGCGGCGTCGCGGCGCCGGCTTTATGAACGAACGTAGGTACCGGGGTCGCACGGTCCCGGGGTAAGCGTGGCGAGCGAAGTCCCTCGCACTATGCTAACTTGGTTAGGGCGTTAATGACCTAATCATGTTACATGCTGATTCAATGTTCAAGGATGAATGCTGTCCACTTTACATACCTTGCCCGGTTACCCGGTGAACGAGGAAACTCGGTCAAGTTCAGCGAAGAAGGCGAAGGGCCCCTTGTGTTCTCTTTGACTTTTCCGTCGTCTATATCGATCTCTTTTTATCCAAAATTTTTTTCCCAAAGCATTTTAATCTCCGAGAAATTTTCGGGTATCACTTTAAAATTTTTAATATATTTCGGAATATAGTTGAAAAATCGAATACGTAAAATTTGTTGTTATTTCTTTTTTTTGAGATTTATGTAGCGTAGAAAAATGTAGAGAGATGGGAATTAAAAAAATAAGAGATTAAAAAGAATTTTTCACGGTACATTCAACCATATGTAATCACGCGCAATTAAATTCTGAAAGTTGTGAGAACGCAGACTGGAAGGAATACTTTGTTCCATTAAAAGTATATTCCATTTTAACGTAACAAAAAGCTCGTCCTAATTTTTTGTACATGAGTATAGATTGAAACGAGATTTTCATAAATGATACGAAATGAAATTAATGTCTCATAAAAGGTATCGGCAAAAAAGTGTTTTCCGCGATCTTTATGATGTCGAAATGAATTTTTCCCATTAATTTACGATATATAACAATGGGATATATCGACCCATTCACGCATTGTGTGATTCTTTTGTATAGTATGTAAAATATTGTTATAAACATTCTTCACAACTATTATTCGACAGACACACACAAACTTATAAATATTGATTTTATAATTTAATTACAAGGAAGCAAAAGTTTATTACTGGATTGTAAATTTAGATTCGTGAAATATATTTGTGTATTGCTGTTTCAATTTGCTCGGGATTTGAATCCGTTTTTATGCAATTACAGAGTTTTTCGATTGCAAAAAATAGGCAAAAAAAAATTACGGTTGTCGGTTTTACATCTTTGATGTAAAAATCTGCTGAAAAATTATATCCTTGTAAACTATATTTGTTAAAACGAATACGCTATATATATATAAAACCAAATATAAACATTTATCAAAAGAATGAAATGTTATTACAAGCAAATAAAATTATCGTAATAATATAATTGTTTTTTGTAGTTAAACCAGCACACATTATACAACATATACGTATATTATAAAACTTTTTTAAAAATGATTTTTGTAAGTAAAAATTAAAATTTTGAGAAAAGAGAGACATTTATTTTAATAATATTTTATTTATTGGAAAGAAGAAAAAAGAGAAAAACAGAAACATAAACAACATATAACAATTAGAAAGATTTCTTTATATTAAATTTGTCTCGTATTTCATTAATAGTTATACTATTTTATAAATAGTAACACTTTTTAGTCATAATGCATTAAATATGAAAGAATTTTTTTCAACAAAAAAATAATTTAAAAAATATATAAATAGATTTCTCTCTCTCTCTCTCTCTCTCTCTCTCTCTCTCTCTCTCTCTCTCTCTCTCTCTCTCTCTCTTTCTTTCTCTCTCTTACAATTTCCTTTCGAGTGGAATTAAAATAATGTACTATGTTCTAAAATCATAGAGATTTTTTGTATTTGAATAAAATTGACAAATAATAGAAAATATAAAGAGCAAGAATTTAGTTAAACAAGACATAAAATATTTCAGACTTAGCAAGTCTTTTTTCAATTTTGAAAAAAGTTCAAAAACAACTTTTTTAAAGATCAGAATTAATTTTTCCTTCAACATCAAATTACTGGAGAGGTCCATAAATAATTCCTCAAGTATCTCAACAGTTTACATCACATGTATCATAAACTACAATATAATGTCTAACGAAATAAATTCATGCAATCGAAGATGAGCAATGATAATAAAATGTCGGCAAAATCGTACAGCCGTTCGCAGCCGAGTTAACCCTTTGTTGGCTGAAGTTACAAGCTGTTCGCCGACAAGCGACTCTCGAGAAAAGCTCGGAGAAAAGAGCGAGGGTGCATTGTGGCGTCGGCGGCGAACATCTGCCCCCGCAGATTTCGGGGGGACAGTCGGGGGAGGCAAGAGGGATAATTAGCGGTGATTTTAACGAGGTGACACGCGCGACGAATGACACGATTTACAGGATTACTGGTAATGCGATGGCCTTCTCTCGACCTACAGCTGCCATCCGTCGGCATCTGCTGTCACATTAGAATGCATTATCGGTCCAGCGGAAAGTGATACACACGTTTCTCCATGATTCACTCGACGTAATGCAAATTTGTTTCTTCTCGCGAGAAATCTGATTGAAATTCTTATTGATGTGAAAATTGATCCAATATTCTACAAATCTATTTGCCAACATTTTACTTTCATGTGTCAGATATATATTAATTAATTAATTTATTAATAATTCTATTTGATGAAAAGATGTCATCAAATAGAAAAGCTGTTGAATTTTTTAACATTTATTTTCTAGACATGTAATTTTAAATTATTAAGATATTTAATAGCAAAAAAACAAGGAGTGATATTTTCTTCAAGATAGCGCTCTTCAAATATTTTGTATATGCAACTTATAATTTGCAGAAAAATAGCGGAAGAGGAAAAGATATTAAAAATAATTAATTCAAGTATAAGTTTTTCTTTTGAGATAAATAAAAAACTTTTCGTTTACTTTTATAATTACTTCAATATGGTTTCAATTTCAAGTTTAACGATCAAAACAATTAGATTCGAAAATTGAGAAATAATGATACGATTTTTACCAACATTTTTTCCACGAGAATTATTAGATTCGATTAAAATTCCTTAATATTTCATTTTTAATTAAGAATTCCATATCGCGACGCGTTGTCAGAGAGTAACGCGTAGTAAGGTGAACACGCGGAACAAATTTATTTTTCTCTACGAGCACAGTTGAGGGTTGACGACGTTATGGGTCACTCAACAAGAGCGGGACGCGCCTTTTAAGGAGGATACGGGGACCGCGCGCGCAGAAGACCGTTGCTCGAGTACTTTTAATACCCGGGAGAACGCGCGAGGGGGTTAACGACATTAATTTTTCCCTCCACCGCCGTCCTGTCCTCGTTTTATTCCGTTATCTCTTTTTCCCTCGTCGCGAGGCGGCCCGACGCAGTCGGATTATCATTTGCATGAGAATCCCGCGGTAGTCTCATTTCGTTTCCGGGAAACCCTGACCTTGAAGGGTACGACGGAATGCTGGATATCGTGATTTGCAAATCGGTGCCACCGCGTGAAACTCACATTTACCGATATAAGGACGAAAAAATTCTAGCGACTGCCGCGTCGCGATAGACCTGTTGAACTTTGTACTCGTCAAGATTCCTTACTTAGAGACGAAGGTTCATTAAGAATTGATTTTGTAAATTCCAATTAATAAGCGATGCACTTCAGTAAATAATTTATGGACTCCCGATGCAAACAAATCTTGTTAGAAACGCCTAGTTTCTTCAACGGGGTGGAAAATTTAATAAAATAAGACAGAATTTATTTCGCTTTTTGTTCTACATTAACGACAATCGCGTAATATTAAAGCGTTTCTAATTAATTCAAGTCGGATATAATTTCTATTTACTTTATAGACGAGGAATAATTATCATCTTTTGAAAGGATGTAATGATTAAATGCTTCGCGTTTAATGAGCGCAAGTTGACGTTTCGAACGCACGAGACACACGCTTATGAAATACGAGCCGCGATACAATAACAAGAAGGAGAGGGAATGAGAGGGATGAGCCCTTTCATTCGATCCCGATGCCAAGTCTTTCGAAATCGGGCGCGAGAGACTCGCCGCCCGTCCAAGCATGGTCCGACGTTTCAAGCCCACCCCATTAACGCACCCTCGGTGCTAAGCTCTCTTAAGCCCTACTAGCACATAATAATAGTCCATGGAACAGGTACCACCATATGTCTGGCCCACCCGACCCATTGTCAACACTCCGGGCTGATCGCGTCGCCAGCGTGAACGCGTGCTCGGGGCTCAACAAGCGGAAAATACGTCTATCTCGAGACAGCACGATGCCCATTTTTCTCGACAATCGAAAAAATCCGAAATTTTAACAGTTACAAATGCATCGAATTATAAAATATATCAAGAGCATATTTTTTACAGAAATAAGAAAGAACATATTTTTTATAGAAATTGTACGTTAAAAAATAATAAAAAAGATCAAAACAACCCACTTTTTTACTAGTATTATAAAATCACTAATTTCTTTACTTTAAAATTAATTACGAAATATGCTTTCGTTTGAACTTAATAAAAATAATGAAAATATTGTCGTATATTAATCTTATTGTATTCCAAAGCGAGACAAAAATTATGAGTGATGTTTCCAGTTAAAAAAAAAATCCATCGCATGAATAAAAGAAAAAAATATAAATAATCAACGCACACATTCTAATCTTGTCCAATTGAAGTAATAAATAAGGTCAGGAACTTATTCCTCCGTTAATACGTATCACTCACCGACAGTCGTGGTGGCCCCGACGCTGCTTCTGCCAGGAGTCGCGGCGGGCGTCGGCGGGCTCGCCTCCAGGCCCTGATGTACCCCGTACAGGCCGAAGTCCTGCTCATTCGAGCTGGCGCTGCTGCACTTTCTCTTCTCCTGATTGTGATTCAGGTGGAAGCTGTCGTTCTCGACCAGGCCGACGCCGAGTAGACCCAGGTTCGGCCTGAGCTCGTCCATCAGCTTGTTCTGCCCGCAATTGGCGGCGGCCGCCGCGGAGAAGTTGAGTTGCCGGCTGAAGATCGCCGGGAATATGTTGAATTGCTGGTGATCGAGGCTGAGGGTCGTCGGCAGGGACGAACCGCCACCGCTGCCGCCGCCGCCCCCGCCGCCCCCGCCGCCGACGGAGGTACCGCCGACGGAACCGACGCCGCCCGCACCGGGACCCCCGGTACCTCCGGACAAGTCGTTAGCCAGGGTGATGCCGGGGTAACCTGGTCGAGGTAGCTCGTATTGGTAGCACCTGAGCGAAATGTCGACTATCTACGAGGACATCTTCGCGATGACGTAATGCCGGCGATGAGAGCGCTCCACGTCCGTTTTGCGAATACGCACCGCGTTATCCTCCTCGGATCGACGCACCGAGAGATCCTTGAGAGGATTCCGGTGGAGAGCGCCTCGTTATCCGACAATTTTTCAGTGATTTCAACGAAGGGCTGGGTCGCGAGAAAGGACGGTTCTTCTGTCAGAGATGCTTTACACTTTTCAAAGTTTGCAACTTTCGAAGTATGTTTGTTTAGAAAGAGTGATATATCTTGCGTGATTTATCGTATTTATGAACTATCCAAGGAGATTGATCGAGCAATTTTACAGATCTCTTTTTTCAAACATTCTCTTCAGAAAACACTTGTGCAGGGATGCACACCTTTAGTATCACTATTATTGAAAATTCTTACTATGAGCGATAGTTATTTTAAACGTTATCGCATCTTAATAATTAGAGTGAGATCCATTTGCGTATGTGTTTGAAAAGTTGCAAAAAATCAAGACGGAATAATTATGTATAAAATATTGCTTATCGATTTAGCATTAAATTAATCTAGATTTCGGTTAAATTAATCCAACTTTTACATGTAGTCTCTTCAATTCTCTCAGTAATATGTGTCTGAAAGATTTAATGTAATTTTTACATGTAACTTTTTTGTATGCGATCTTAATCTTTGTAAAAATTTGCAGGCAGCGGTAGATTTTTGCAAATTATTCTTATATAACAGTTTTAGCCCAGATCCAACTCGCGGTTCATTCCGCATCAAGAATGGACATTTGCGTGAAATATTATTTATTAATAGATATTAATTAGTTTGGACTGCTTGTGTGTTTTCTATAACTGCAATTTCGTTGCACTTTCGACAAACGAAGATGAGTACTTCTTCAAATTTCACTTAGAATTGGCGGTTCTCCTCTTCATAATTTTTTTAATAGTCTCTTCAAGAATCGTTCAATTAAAAAATCCAAATCGAAGACACATGAAAAATTCGGAGATGGGTCTCTCTTCCTTCGATTCTCTCTTCGTTAGCAGTTCGAGAGTCCTTTCGGTATTGCTCTTCGAATAACAGATGCACGAAGGATGAAAACGATGCACGATATCGATTTTAGAATCTATGAATCGCCAAGAAGACGCATGATCAATTCGGCTAAATCCGATTATCTCGTCGATCCAATTAGAAGGGTGCGCGACCCCCGCGAGGGGGAGGGTGTCGACGGGCGTTCGGCTGGATCAGCTGGCCTTGAAAATTCGGATATCGAAGTAATTGGTGAGAAATGGCGCGACGTGCAAATCGGTATAAAGAAATGGCGCGCACCGCGAAACGACGACGACGACGACGACGACGGCGACGGCGACGGCGAGGACGAGGACGACGACGGCGACGACGACGAGGACGACGTGCACGACGCGCCCTTCCGTCCTTCCTTGCTTCCTTCCTTCTTTCCTTCCTTCCTGCGAAGGACAACGCGGTGGGAAAACCCGATGACGACAGGAGCGGAGAGCGAGTCAGAGGGGGCGACCGCTCGCCGTGAGTTCTTGTGGGATTCTGTCCGCGAAATGCAGTTATCCCGGTGACTCCGCGCGGGGGTGAGTGAGCGGAGAACGCGTACGAGGGGTTGCCTCTCGGCCGTCGCCGTCGCCCGTGGTAGGGGGTTGTTTCTCGTAACCGGTCGCCTTCCACCCCTGTCCCCGCGACGCCGCCGCCGCTACCCCCGACGGCGCTCGAGAGGGTGGCGGACGCGCGGATTGGTCCGGCGGCGGATGCGTCGCCCCAGCGACGACCAATCGGGCAGGCCATCGGGATGCCCGCGGCACCCCCGCCGCCGCTGCCAACATGGCGCGCGTACCAATAAAAATTCCTCCGGAAAATAGCCTGCGAGCGATTTTCTTTCCGGGACCACCAGCGTGTAGCGCTTTTCCAACGACGCACACGCTTCATCCCAGTCATCAATACGCGCCGAGAGAGATATGGCGTACGAGGGATCCCCCTTTTCGCCACCCCAGTCCTCATCATCGTCGTCCTTCCCGCTCTCAATCCTCTCGTCTCTCTCTATCTAAATACTTGCTCCCCCCTCCCTCTCTCTCTCTCTCTCTCTCTCTCTCTCTTATTTCTCTCGTTCTATCAAACGCTATTTTGCTGTCTCTCCCTCCCTCCCCCTCTTTCCCTCTTTCTCTCTCTGTTGCTTTCGCTCTGTCGTGTCTCTTTTCTACCGCGCGCGGCTCTCGTCTTCGTTTTTATTATCTCGCGGCAGATAGCTTTTTTAATTCTTTTCCCCCTTTTTCGGGATTTGATTGTAATGTACACCCACGCCTGTGTGACCCACCTGCGTGCCGCGTCGCGGTGGTGCATCGTTTGCGCCGTGAGATGCATTCGGCCCGGCGCTAAATGTCTTTGTGTATCTCGCGCCTGGCTTTTTCGGAGGATTTGTAATTTGGAGACTCGGACTCTCTCCGTTTTCTCTCTCCTTCTCTCTCTATCCTCTTCCCAGCTTTTCTTTGCCCGTCGTCCCTCGCACGTTCCACTTTTTTTTTGGTCGGAACGCGGTAGATTGCGTTTCTTGATTTCTTCCTTTTTTCGAGATTTCGTCGAGATCGCCCATTCGCGTTTTGGCTGATTGGCTTTGTAAAACCCCGTAAAGTTCTTTAATTACATTTTTGAAATTTTTCTAAATCCCTTCGATGTGTCAAATCCCTAGTTATCGAGGAGAAAAATTAGAATCAATCATTTCCACGTGTCGCTAGATTTTCAAAGTTTAAAAAAACAAATTTGAAGAAACAAGATATCTTTCAATCTTTATGTGCATTGAACAATTTGACATCTCTGAATCTAAAAATTTGACAATATTCACATATAATTTATAAAATTTATAATTTAAGAGATATATATCAATAATGCGGCGCTATTTCTTTTTGTTATCCGAAAAAGTTGCTTTATAATTGTACTTAAAATTAAAGAAAAGGAAGAATATCCATAAAACTCTTACGCCAATTACACTGAATAGCATGGATCATCTATTCCGCTCGTGCGTTTGCCACGCTCTCATTCTCGTTCCGGCGTCCCTTCGCGATTTGCATCGCCATAGCTGCCGGCATTTCCATTTTTCATTTCTGGCTTTCTTTGCGCCAAGCTACCCTCACTTTGTCTCACAGTGGATATCATTTTTAAGTTCCCCACCGCCTCGCGCGCGCTCCTTTGTATATTTCGTGCTTACTTGCTCTCTTCCCTTTTCTACCTTTCGTGCTTCATTTTTCCTTTTTACCTCTCCTCTACCTTTCTTTCTGGAGCGCGCATTTTCTTTTCTCGCGACGCAGTGGAATATGCGCGCTCGTGTCAGACACAGAGAGAGAGCCGTCCCTCGCTCTTCGATTTTCCGCGAGAGTTCTTCGTCCTTGCGCCCTCTTTGAGGCGTCTCCTCCAGCGAGACGTTAGGGGAGAGAGAAAGAGAAGATTTCCTCTCGAGCGCGCCGAGGGAGATCGATGAGCTTCCGCGAGATCGAACGAAGCGGCGAAAAGGGAACCCCACGAAGAAATGTAAAGTTTCGAGAGCTCATTCGAAGCATCGAAAGCGTCTCAGAAGTTACACGCGGCGCGCTTTCAAAGACTCGGCCGCCGCCGTTTTCATTGAACTGGCAAAAGTCAATTTGCTGGCTGCCCCGAAAACTGGGCCACCAACAACTGCGCGTCCTGATCAAAACAGGATAAACAACGGGATAAACGATTTGGAAAAAAGTTTAAAAAACATGTGTTGGGAGAAAAACGGGGAAAAAATTTCCGGAAATGTTTGTGGTTAAAAAAAGTGACGTTTATATAAAGTTGCTTCTATATATTTCATTATGTAATTACGTTCAATTATAATAAACTGTAAAATAATTGAGAGCAAAAAGGATATATTTAGCGCAAATATGAAACTGCCATAATGACAATAAATTCAATTTTCACTGTCATGAATAAATATAGAAAATATTTTTTTTATCAGCAATATTTTTTTGCAGCAAAATCTAAATTTATCAAAATTATATCAATCTTATATACTATATATAAATCTTGATTGAATAAAAAATATAAAATAACGATAGCATATATCTAAATTATACAAAGCATTTTCTAAAAATTTTGATTTAAAAAAAAGAATGATATGAAATAAATACAGTATTGCATAAAAGAATAATTACGTAACAATATTAAAAATGGTAACAAAAATATAAAAATTAAAATTGCGTATAATTAATTTTTTCCTAGATATGTACTTTTTAAATAATCTAATATTTTTTCCTAACTAATGATATATCATCATTTGACATCATCGATTTGAATATCCTCATTAAAGGCTGAAGCCGACAAAAACGATGATAACATGCGGTGCCGGAAAAGTCGCCGCGTGCAGATCAAAGCCAGCAAATTTTCGATAAGTCGTCAATGAATCCAAGGGGATAGCTGGGCAAGGGGGTACCATATCGGCAGGGCGTGGTCGAAATCTGTCACACTAGCCGCGAATAAACTATCCGGCTGTAAGAAACGATATCAAAGTTCCTGTACTAAAGAATATACTTCTGCACTAAAGAATAAAACAGGAGCATTATATATCTCCGATCATTTTCGCAACAATTCTCAATCATTTTCAGCACAATATATGAATACATTAGCATAAAAACTGATGAAATACTCAGATTCTTTTTTCAAGATAAAATACTCAGATTCTTTTTTCAAGAAGAGAAAAATATTAATGCAAAATTAATTTAAAAATTTAAATTATATCAATGCAATCAAAGTATTAAAGTAAAATCGATTTCACTTTTTATTTTTTGTCTCGACAGTATTTA